ATTCAAGTGTTTACTCAGTCTCTTTATTTCTCTCTCTGAACTAGACTACGACCCTTTCTAGCTTTCATAAAGGTGAGGTGTACATTGAGCAAAATGGGCCACCAGATGCAAATGTCTGCAATGCTCCCTTCCCCCCATTTGCTCTCAGCGCCAGCATGCACACCTGTTAGTGATTATGTTTGGCATTCCTATAAGGAGACTATTAAAGTTTGGGGTTTTATTTTCTTCATGTGGAGACTATGCTCAGCAAAAAACTAGAGTAAGAGAAGCATCATCAGAAAAGAGTGAGGTGGGGCTCAGAAACACAGTGATGTAAAGATATCCATGTCCAAAAAAATACCACTTCCTGCTGGACATTCCACAATTAGAGCGTCAGTCCCCATGAAATCCCCTCTGCCTCAGATTCTATGATGCTCCGTTGCTGAAGATTTCTTCTACCACTTACAGTGACCCTTCTTTGTCTCCTCTATCTTCATTCACAGCCAGGCTTATTATTAATCCCCCTCCCCACCCCCGTTTTTCTCAAGTCAGTATTAAGTGGGGACTTAAATTTACCTTTTTAACCTCATGCTGAATTTGTTCTTCTCTGAAAGGTCATAGCATTTTACATCTACTGCATTCATCTGTGCAACAGCTATGTGAATCCTTGAGTTGTTACTTAACAGTTCGATGGGTGCACATTATCTTCCCAGTTATATTTTTAAATACTCGGGAACAGCGACATCTTAGAGTCTCTGGCATTAACACATACATGGCCTTTAAGAAATATTTGTATGTAGTGTGAAGATGCTGTGTTATAATTAATAAAACTTTTTAAGTTTTAGGTTTACAAAACTCTGAGTGGAGAGTACAGAGTTTCTACATACCCCACTTGCAGTGTCCCCTATTCTTGACAGCATTCATTAATGTGATACCTTTGGTGGTTGATGAGCCAATATCAATACATTATTATTAAATGAAATCCACAGATTACACTAGAGTTCATGCTTCTGGTTGTACACTGAATGTTTTGACGATGTATAATATCATGGATCTTCCACTACAGAATCATACAGAATGATTATAATGCCTTAAAAATCTCCAGTGCTCCATCAGTTCATCTTCCCTGTGCCCCCGACTATATGCCAAATCCTTCTACTGTCTCTGTAATTTCACTTTAGAGTTTTACCCTAAAATATATTTAAAATGGTTTGATTTTCCATTCCAAGTTCTTTCATGATAATTATAAAGTCTTATGACTAAAACAAGAAAATTCTTAATGGGAATGGAAAGTTGCAGGTGTTATTTCCACCTGGGGAAAAAACTGAGTGACTAGAAATATCATTCTGAGTCCTTCACTTATGGAGACCTGGGACTCACAAACACAGGTGGCCCACCTCTGAGGGGTCCCCTCACCTCAGCTACATTGCAGGACGTGAGGTCCCCCCGAGAGTGGGGCAGTGCTGGTGGCCCTCTGACCACAGGCCATTTTCTCTAAGCAAAATACTCACCAGCATCTTGCCCCATGGCTTATTGCCATTGACCTTTGGAGAGGTCAAAATCTGCAGTTACCCTGGAATATTTTCACTTACCTTCTTGTATTTACCACAGGAAATATCTCTGACCAGGGAGGCCTTCATGCAGTGCTCACGGGGTGGGACATTTGTCCACATTTTCCATTGTTTTGCTCTATTTGTGTGGGCACATATGTGTGCATGGGTGTGTTACCTGCAGTCTAATTTCTTTTAAACTATTTTAATTGTATTTTAGATCCTGCTTCTCTGGCCCTAAACTAATATTCATCATTGGTTTATCTGCTGAATGCAATTCACAGTGTAAAAACACCCTCTGGCCCTCAGCCCCTTGTCCCATGTGGCTATCTTCATCTGCTGACTTCCAATTAAGGAACAGCTGAGAGAAAGAAATTCGACTAATGGTGTTGTATTGTGTAGGTGGGCCAGGTTTCTACTTTGGTCATTACTAAAGATATGGCCAGCCTGTCCATTATTGCGAGCCACTACCATATGCATAGGATTGTGCTGGGTGGGAGGTGGTAAATAAGGAATAGGAATTAAAATTCAAAGACTAGTAAGTTATGATGTCCTTACTTTCCTGGGTTCAGTGACTAGAGGAGAAATATATTGATTGAGCTCTATTACTAGTTACATTTCACCTAGCTCTCCCTCTGTCCACACACCGATCCAGCAGGGTGACTGTCAGAGAACCCCAGTACGAGTGAGCTGTGGGGATGGGGAGTAGAGTCAATAATGCTTTCACTACAGGAAGAATGTGACCTTTCACACTTTAAAAATTCCATACTGAGAACAATGGCAAGTAGAAATGATACTTTAGGTTACACAGTATGGAAAGAAGATTGGTACCATTTCAGCAGGAGTTTGAAAGGATTCTATTATTGTATTACTTATATTTCCAAGAAGAATGGTATTTTGGAATCAAAACTCCCACATAGCTGGACTGGCCTCCTGGACATTCGACATGTGCAGTTACACAGAGCGTTCATGTTTACAATGGCCCTGAGTTGGGTTTCATGTTCAGCTGTCACTATCTTGAAATTATTACTAGATTGTTTTTAATAAAGGACCCCTCGTTTTCATGTTGCATTGGCCCACCAAATTACATAGCCCGTCCTGGCCCCAAGCCTCTGACTCATGAAACCCGAGGTCAGTTCAACTTTAGTTTTCTTAAGATACAAAGTTCACATTAACTCCTTCCTAAATGCTTTTCTTCCTCAGTATCTAGCTCTCTTCCTCAAGGTCAAAGCAAAAAGGTTGAAGAATCTTTAGTGATGGGAATAGACATTACCTTTTTTTGAGTCAGAAAGCAGTGATTACTACTTTGAATGGGTCTGATTTCTAATGAGTCTTAGTTAGGATTTTTGTTTTCCCATGGGGCTTTGTATAAAGACGCCATGCCCTTTAACTACCTAGGAGTTTTAAAATACTAAATGAGACATTTCGATGGCGGTCTCAATCCATAGTCTTCCTTTTGAATCTATTTTTTATGTCTTTAACACTTGTTTAGCATAAAGTAAAATAAAAATTTCTCTATATTACTGGTATGGATTGAATTGTATCCCCCAAAAGACACTGTAGTCCTAACCCTCAGTACCTGTGAATGTGGCCTTATCTGGAGAAGACAATGTGAAGACACAAGGGGAACACCACCCACAAGCCAAGGACTGCCTGAGGCTAGGGAGAAGCAGGGAGTCACCGAAGAGATTTTCTCCCAGTGTCCGCAGGACCCAACCCTGCCAACACATTCATCTCAGATGTCTAGCCTCCAGAACTGTGAGACAACACGTTTCTGTTGTGAAAGTCACCTAATTTGCTGTACTGCACACGGCAGACCCAGAAAACTAATACAGCTACTGAAATTGAAGGACTGAAATGCATTACATCAAATTCTAGGATAAATTACAAGGTTTTCATTGTTTTCTCCATCGCTTGCCCTTCACATACAGCGTTTCCTCATCACCTGTAGCCTGTTTTCCTTGTGTCATCACGAAGTTACCTTCCAGCTGGCAGTGTGTTGTGAGTTGTTAACTCTCAAAATGTGGTCCACCTACTGTCTACACTGAAGTCACAAGGTACATTTGTTTAAAACATAAATTCCCGAGTCCCATACCAGAACTGTAGAACTAGATTGTTTGGGAAAGGATGGCCCAAGAGTCTAAAACTTTTAAAGGGTCCCAGGTGATTCTGAAGTAAACTAAAGTTTGGTAAGTAAACTAAATGGTTACTGAAGGAATCTTTGGCTGGACATCCAGCACCTCATAAGGGTGGATAATTCAGACAGTGAAAACCTGTCCCTCCCTGGAACTATCTTCATTTTGTGGCTAAGTAAGAGAAACCCCTCTGTCCCCTCACCCCCACTCTTCTCCAGATAAAAGAGCCACTGAGTAGAAGTTCCAGTATAGAGGAGAAATCTCATCCTTCTTTATCAGAAGCAGCAGAAGGATCCCTGGAACTAGAATCTTCCTGAGACTATTCTTCACCTAACGTTTCCCAGAGGGAAGGAAAGTGTTTAAATAGTTGAACTCTTAATCACAGTAATTTTTACCTCACTTTTTACCACAGAAAACCAGGTTGCATACCAAGTTTATTAGCTAGACTTGCTTAAGTTGAAAGCATTAGTACACTGTATCAAAATGTGACGTCCTGCTGCTCCAAAGCCCAGTAAAACCTGTGTTGGACAGGCTGAGGAAATCAAGGCCCCAAACCATTCTTTGTATCTATTGCCCTCTTGCTAGAGTCCTCTTGTTTTGTGAATTAAGTTTACAAGACACAGAACAAATAACTGTGCCTTAAGAAGGGGCTCAAACCCAAGATACCAAGAGGCAGGTAGAGAAAGGAGGTTATGGAATTACACACACTTTGAGCAGAATTGGGAAATCCCTAAGCAAACCTGGGGTTTCCAGCTAGAGTTTCTATAGGAGAGTGGTCAAAGGCCTCTTTGCCTTTGATCTTACCTGTAAGAGGAAAGCTGGTACTGGAATTCTACCCAAGGGCTCCGTCCAGCATTCCTTTCCAGACAAGTTCTTTGTCTTCCTGAAATCAGCTACTACCATCTTTGGAGTCTGGTGCATTAGTATATTTATTCTGAGGTTAAAACCTCCATTACTTACCCGAGGAAGGAGAATTTTAGCGTCTTCCTCTGAGGGATATTTATTAGTGTGTGATATTAGATTTTAATTTGGCACCCTAGGGGAAAAGAATCTTTTGTTGTAAACACCTGGCCTCTTTTAAGCGTTCTTTTAATGCAAAAATAACATCTCTGCTCCTTTCCCTCTTTTTGGATGAAAAGTCAAGTGCAAAATACAGATGACTCTAAATATAATTCAGTTTTCACCTAATCATAGCACTGATTTTCCTGGCCCCTTGGGGTACTTCCGACCACTATTCCTAGACCTCAAATCATAATATGCAGTTTCCTTTACACCTTTCTCCTTTGATTTACATCTCCCAGTACCTGTAATCAGCATAATGAATTTGTAATCCTACCGTCAATCCCGTCAATCCACAAGTTCAAAAGGCAAATGTTTGCAAAATGTGTAGTATCGCCAGTGTTCCAGAAGGTCCCCAGCGCTGCCGCTCCTTTCCTTGACGGAGGTCTCCGGCGGTTGTGAAGGTGTGGTTGTTCGCGTACCCGTGTGAGCGTGAACGTGTGTGAGCGTGAACGTGTGCTGCGTGCGTGCGTGTGCGTCCGAGTGTGTGCGCATGTGCGCGCTTGGGAGTGTGTGTTCTGTGTCTGGGACTTGAAGAGTGTAGATCTACCGTTTCCCAGAGCAGTAGCTACCGATTTGCAAAATCTATTTTCCTCTCTCAATTCAGTTTCAATTTAATTGTTCAAACTTGTAAAATAATTTAACTTTTTACTTAAAACATATGCCTTTATCAGATGCTTTAAAAATAGAGACAATTGTACAGGAAAGGAAGGGAACAGAAGCTATTAGATTTTAACCTCAGTTCAAGAAAAATTCAAAAAAGACAGATAAAAACTCAACGTACTTTTCCCCCAAGCAGGCCAACATTGTCAGCCTTATCAATTTCATATGGCCCCTTATTTCATAAGAGATACAAATATCATTATTTGTTAGAAACAATAATTTAAGATTAGAATTCATTCTTAAGTATGTCTTGCCTTTACAGAAAGTTACCCAGCAATGTCAAATATTTCACAAATTGACCTGTTGTTTTCCTTTCTTTAATTCCAGTTTATTTGGATTAAACAAATGCCACACACCCACTGTAAACTGTCTTATTACCATCAAATATAAGAGTTTAGTATTCTATAATGAAGAAATTCATACCACTTAAAAGCATATTATTGTATTATTATCGGCCTGACTGAAGCATAGGTCTTTGTACATAGGCAAAGTCTAATAAGACAACTGAATAATAGAGGGAAAAAAATTAATGCTAGGAATAAAGCTTTGTTACATAAAAAAATTAGCATCAGAACTCACCAAACCTAGTCCAGTGATGAAAGGTGCTGCCCACATTTACTAGAAGTAGTATCCTCTGCCTTAGCAAAATCACCAGTGCAGTTGCTGATTTTAATGTGGAGGTTTTATTCCCTAAACCTCTTTAATTAATGTGGCAAAGATTTAAAATCAAGGAGGTTCTTGACATATTTGAAAGATATTTTATTTTCTAGATCCTAGAATCACATATCCCACCTTTGTTTGATTTGTCATGAAGCTGTACTAGCTATTGCAGTTGTACACATTTTTGTTACTTTTGACATTCATTATTGAACTTACTAAGGCTGAATCCTGTCTCACACTTTGCAGACCTTCTAAAGGTTCTCAATTATGATCCAAAAGAAATTTCTTATGCCTTAAACCTCATCCTTTCTGTAAGATACTCTGGGTCAACTGAGGTTGGCATTTTACTGTTTTGATATTGTAGAATATTATCAATATGAAATGAAATATTTATATTTTCATTTATAAAGTAATCTGTATTTTGGTTCTAAAATGATGTCCAATATACTTAATCCAATATACATAGTTTTGTACTTTCTTCTCTTATACTACATGGAATTACAAATAAATAAGTATTCAATTAACACTAAGCTCAGAATTAAAAATCACAGAGGATGCCAGTAATATATTTTGAAATTGTTTATACCGTAAAACCTTTCAAGTAAATTATATTCTGGAAGAAAATTAATAGTCATTTTATAATCAACACCTTTAAGAATGTATGAGATTATTGCAAAGAAAAAAAGTATATGATTGGTGGATACTATGTTGCATTTTAGTTGTTTCCTAAGAAGTGCTGATTATATTAGGTCTGCTTAAGTCTTGCATTTCATTTTTCAATTTTGCATTCTATCTTTTTATTGAGGTATAATCGACATATAGCATTATATTAGTTTTCAGGTGTACAACAAAATAATTTGGTATCTGTATACATTGCAAAATGATCATCACAATAAGTCTAGTTAACATCACTATACAAAGTTACAATTTTTCCTTTTTTTCTTGTGATGAGGTCTTTTAAGGTTTATTAGCAACTTTCAAACATGCAATACAGTATTATTAATTATATCACCATGCTATATTTAATTCCCCATGGCTTATTTTTTTATAACTGTGAGTTTGTATCTCTTGACCCCATTCACCCATCTTGCTCACCACCTACCTGCTTCCCCCTCTGGTAACCACTAATCTGATCTCTGTATCTGTGAGCTTGGTTTTTTTGTTTGTTTTGTCTTGATTTTTAGATTCCACATATAAGTGAAATCATATGGTATTTGTATTTCTCTGCCAGACTTACTTCATTTACCATAACGCCCTCAATTTCCATCCATGTTGTTGCAAATGGCAAGATTTCATTCTTTTTAAAGCCGAATGTTATCCCAATTTTAATATTTTATATGTAGATCAATTTTACATAGGGCAATTTTTTTTCAAAGCACTATGCTTTAAAAAACATCTGTCTTGTATATAAAAGTCAGAAAGTATTCCAGAAAGTTGAATTCTATATTTTACTAGAGACATTCTGGATGTGTTGGACTGTAATGGCATAGAAAGAATTAACTTGGGAATTGCATCATTTTTATTTTATACTTTTTACTTGCATTTGCCTATCCTAAGGTCTGCACCAGCTGTCTCTTTTTTTCTCTAAAAACAAAATTCTATAAATCCCTCTGGCCTGTAGGTCACCTGTCTTTGAGTTGTGGTCTGTTCTCCAGAATCTTTTTATGAAAGCAAACTCTTCTGCACCAAGAAGTGAAGTCAGGATGTGATCCGTTTGCTGCAGAGAAAGAAAGACCTTTATTATTGACTGGATTAGGTAGTAGGACACCCAAACCATCTTCTTGCTAGGAAAAGAACACACTAAGAAACAATTCTGTTTTCCTCTACCATCTTCTTTTTCCACAGGTAAAGACATCTCCTGTTGCATAGCAACTTTGTAGATGAGTCATATACAATGAACTCCCTCAACCTTGTACCCAAATTTAACCACCTATAGAATTTTATTAATCTGTGTGCTCCAAAGGAATGTGTAGGAAAAAAATGATAAAGAAACTGTTTTCTCATTCACTACAAGTCTTCATTGAGTATTAAAATGGACATGTGATTATTTTAAAGACTACTCTTTAGAAGAAAAGTACTAATCTTAGAAGACTTAGAACCTGTTTTTTATTACATCTAGAACCTCAGCCTCAAAAATTCTGATCTGAAACTCCCGTTTTCTTCCCTATTTGACCCTTCTTCTTTCAACTACTACCTAGCTATGGAACTAGATAGCTGGTTTCATCCTTAGCACCTTCCTCTTCAAATTTAACAGATCATCAATTTTAATATGTCTGTGCATCATGTGCATCAATATTTCCTGATGATTTTACCTTTTAATTAGTTCTCAGTCCACTTGCTTCTCTCCATATGAACAGCAATCAATCTAATTGGGACTCTCCTCTCTCTACTGGACTATTGTAGTTATGTCAGAATTGGTTTCCCTCTCTCCAGCCTTAGTACTCTAATGTCCATCTTCAACACAGCCAACAGAATGATTATGTCTAAAACTGGGTATTTGACAACATGACTTCTGTGCTGAGAACCAGCAATTTTCCCTTTACCATCATTATATGGGAAACTCCAAGCTCTTTCATATTCCTTAAAGGATCTTCATGGTATAGCACCTACCTTCTTTCCAAGTGATAAGCCCTGTATTTTATTAATCCTGCTGGCTGTCCAGCCCCTTTCTCTACCCTCCACTAGGCCTAGCCATAGTCCTTCTACCTATCTAATTCCTAAGCATGCCCTTTCCTAAGCTCAGATGTAACCTTTGCCAGGAAGCTTTCTCTCATTTCCATTTCTGGGCTAGCATAAATATCTTCTTCTTTCTGCATTTTGGAAATATTCCTCAAATATATCTAATATTGTACCCACTACATTGTATTATAATTTCTGTTTATATATTCACCTCCCCCACTAGAAGGCTGGAGCTAAGATGTTCATCCTTGTTCTTATAAAATACCTGGCACAAGTCAATGCTCACTCAATGTTGGTTAAATGAGTTTTGTCTTCAATAAGTCATGAGGCTTAATTAGAAGAATATAAGAGTTAGGGATGTATTATTCAGGGAGACCATGGAATTACCTATTTCATCAATAAACCAGGTGATAATGGTAGAATGGGAAGGGGAGAAATATTATATATTTCCATCTTTTCTCCCAAATTCTGAATCAATGTAGAAAGAGGCAGGGTCAGACAGAGATAAAAAAATATAACTTTTCCTAGTGGTAAGAGTTTATTTGAGAGTAAGAACAAGGCATGAATCTGTGATCAAGTGGGCTTGCTAATTCTTTCCCCAAAACTTTACAAGTGGCCCAGTGTGTGTGCAGGAGGCAAATAAGAGCATCCTATGGAAAGGCCACTTTTAAACAAGACTCCAGAAAGTGCTAAGCCAAATAAGCCAGGTTCCTTCTCTCCATCTCACCAATCAGGTCAATATTTCTCCCACCAGGGAAGTCTGAGCTAAAGCTTCTGTTACCTCCCTAAAGAAAAAAGCTCCTTTTTTTCTGAGCTGAAGTAGGAAAACAGAGAGGAGGAAAGGATACTAGTAGAACATATTTCTTATGTTGAACTCCAGTATTATTCATATACCTGTTAACTTGCCTATCAGCATTCATTCTGCCCTCATAGGTCATTACCTACAATGGAGTAGTCATTATTTCACTAGGGAAGGAAATTTCCTTGTTACTTACCTCCACTTTCATCATGATTATCCTAGTTTTCATAAGTTGTTTCAACATCAACATTAAATCGATGCAAGAATTTTTTTGCATCATTCAATATTTTTCACTCAAAGCCATGAAAAGCTGAGTTGTCATGTTCCAGACTGTGGATAAAATGAGAATTCCTGTGGCCAGGACTCTCAACTGGCCCTGGTTGACTAGCTCACTGCACACCTGTGGGCAATACATGGCTGTTGACTCTATATAAAGAGCTCTGCCCAGTGCTCTGGGCACAACATGGTGGCACGGCTGCAGGAGAGCAGAGCAGAGGCTGGAGTGGTGGCAATGCTGAGGACAGAGGCCCAGAGGCAAGGGGAGAGATGGGCTTGCTG